GTCTCTTTTTCTCGCCCCCCCCCGCCCTTCTACTGTTCGAAACATTTCCAACGAAAATCCTAGAATATTTTTGTTGCCAAATGAAAAAATAACTCGCTACCTCGTCACGCAAACTTATCATGTTTAATTAAATCGAGTTATTAGTGAAAACATGCAGCACATCTTTGTGCACAGATAAATATTGCAGGAAGCAGAGACATTTCGAACAAAGAACGTAGCAATACGCCACTATATTCCGCAGAGAAGGAATACAAAATGGCCAACTGACAATGTTGCATGCGTTTACAAAGGAATTCTGTACGAATGCACATTGTAGCGTGTATCTCTCATTGAACGGCTATCTTCCCAAATGTTCTACCGTTTCAAATTGAATCTGTTGAAAAATTGATCAAAGCAGTCGAATGAAAATATCTCCTGAAGTTGAACGGCTCTTAACAAAAAGTGGATCTTGTTCATGATTGTCATTCTCCAGGACAGCAAAAAAGTATTTAATACCTGTTTAATACGTTTGAATTCTTTTAAGCAATTTAACTATACAATTTCTAGGAGTATGTCTGTAATTATATTGCATTGAATTATGAAGTTGTGAATCTCATAACAAAAGTTGATTTTGCAGAAACTACTAATTCATTCTTGATAGTATCAATATTGTGTATAATCATATTGAGTGTGGTTTCTAACTATTAGAGATATTATAACATAATACGTAAAACAAAAAAAAAATTTGACAAGGATAAGTTTTGTTATAAGCACCTGAATTATGCTTGAAAATCAGTCTTGCAACATTTCGAAATTCGAAAATTCGTAATATCGTTACCATAATATGAAGAGAGTTAGTGGTGTCTAACAGGTATCTTCCCAAATATTCTATTAGAATAAAAATTCAGAATAACATTGATCCCAAAGCAGCCAAATAAATATATTTCTTAAAATTGCTCGTTACCTTCGAAACATTTTAGAATTTGAAGAATTTGCAGTGTCGTTGTCGTGATATAGAGAGTTAGTTGGTGATGTCTAACACATGGCAAGAGTTCAATTTTGTCGTACAGTGCGTTTACACTATAATTGAAATTCTTACTGCGACGCAGTAATTCCTGCGCTCTTTGTACCGTGACATTGTTCTGATCTCTTTGATCGACGTTCTTCAAAGTCAGACCACGCAACCGGAAATCATCATTTATTGGTTCGCGTTGCTCTATCGAAAATCGGGGGCCGTGGCAGATTAGAAATTTTTCTCTTTCACCCTGAAAACGCTTTGTAGCCTGCTCGTTTCAGTAACTTGATTGACCATAGAACGATACCGTGTATCTCTATCGAAATTTTTGAACCTTGATTCTTTGAATCTGGTGTTCGTTAGTTAAAAAGTACTGGTTTCTTTCTGATACAAGTAACATGTTGCGATTTCAATTTTGTTCACTTTTCTCTTGATATTTTTCATTATCTATGGTTCTACGTTCAGTTCCAACTTACTCATCAAAGTTTTACCGTGCGATAAACTTCGTTTCCAAAGTAGCTTTACTTCTTAGAGTTTGAAATAGATTGAAAATGTGCAATAGTAAGCCGTAAGAATACAACAATATTGAAAAGAATATTTTACGTACAGAGATTACAAGAAAAGAACATGGTAGGTATATCGTTGTCGATTTCTTTTATCTTAAAGTCACTTTATGATTAAACAAAAAAATTTTAGTATATAAGATTTAAAAATGTAAAACTTTTAAAAATACCTGATAAATTGAGCTAATTTCGTCGAAACCAATAGTATAATTTTTGAGACAAGTTAATACTATCATTTTATTTACCATACGTTAAAACATATTATTTGAGAAACCCATTTAGTCAAATTATTAATTGTTATATACCTTTCTCATCGCGTTTATAATGTATTTAATTATAATCAAAACTTTGGAATAAAATTCGTATTATACTTTAGTATTGAAAAAATAGAACACCGTCGTTTGGCAAAGCGAAGTAATATAACTCAGAAAAATCAACATTGCCTATGAACATTGAATCTGGTCGACTGAAGTGATCAGAGCGTTATACGCAAAAATAAATGGTTTGATAAATGTTGCAAAGGAATATAAATATTTTTCGCATAGCGGGCCGTGTATGTTTTATCGAAATATCGTGTTAATTTCCAGCGTGACTGTCGCGAGTCGTGTACTGCCGCGGTTAACATAAAGCTCTCGTTATTGTCAGCCCTTTGTTCGACGAACATTGTTTTCGGCCATGTTTCAAATTTAAAACATCCTGTTTCGGTTTTGCAGTCCATAGTAAAGCAATGTTAATGTTCGGCTTCACCCCGTCGGCGATCCGTGTTTTGCCGGGAGATTTATTTCTGCGAGCTGATGCGTTTTTGGTCTCCGCTCAACGAGGAAAATGCGTAGCCAACGAATAAAAGGATAAAAGAGACAGTGGAAATAAAATAGAGAAAGTTCCGTCTATCGTATCGTTTGCATTAGAACACCCGCCATATTCGAGCCATCATATTAATTCCGTTTGCGTACCACTTGCTGGTGGAAACCGACTTCCGCCGGGTTTTCAGACTTAAAACAATGCTCCGAGAGTCGATGAAATATCACTGGTTATAAAGAGGTGGAACCAGAGTAAAAATACTGGCTAGAATACGAAGAAAAGCCAACAAATTCTATACGAATACGCATTTGTACAGAGTGTCCCAATAGTCATTGTCTAAACAACAAGGTGGCGATTTTATGGCGATTTGAAAAAATACATTAAAAATATGAGATAAAATTTGTTCATATTTTAATTAGATGTGATATTCAATGGCTAGAGAAATTATTTATCAAAAAATATTTATCGAAAAGTACTTTACAACGAAGCCTCTTTATCAGGGTTTAGGTGATAGGATCGTAGCATGAAATAATACGAAACTTGATATATTTGGACTTAATTAATTAATACGTAAATCTTATTGTCGATTAAGCTATGATTACTAGGGCACAGATACGAGTTGGTGTTTCTACGCTATATCAGTGGAGACAGCAGAGAAAGATTTTAAGCTCTGAAGCTTAACTTGGATAGCACTGCCGTAAGCCATCATAAAGACCAAAGTGTGCTTTCTCCAAGTTTAGAGAATTCACTCTTGCCCTATTCTATCTACATGTCTTGTTTCAAAAATTCTGTAGAAATGTAATACTAACTTTACGTGCTGTGATAAAACAGGTTGTTCAACTATAAAAAACTTTATGTGATTTTGTAAAAACAAGATTGTAAACATTTTAATCTAACTTTCGAATTGGGAATCTTAAGATCAACATCATGTAATCGTACGACGCGTAAGTGGTTTACGAGGAATCGAAAGAAACCTATTCAAAGTTTTATGGACTGATTGTACCATAACAAGGGTTTACGATACGACAATCAACATCGAACGATGGGGAAGAAGCTCGAAAATTTTTGAATGCGAATTGGTATTTGAAGTTTCTGATACGAACGTCTCTTAAACTAGATACAGAATTTCTTTGTGGTTAGAAGTAAATACGAAGTCTTCATAAACTAGTCTCCAAAGTTTTAAGATATATTTTCATATAACATTAAAAGTCATAGTTTTTGTTACGATATTCTATGACATCATGATATTATTATGTAATTTTTATGTAATTTAATATCATGATATTTAGTTATATTTAAACGTAACGTCAAAATAGTTTTGTAGGCTACTTGCGATTTTAGTGAAATTATAAATTTTGTAGAATGAAAGTAACAGGATTGGTAGGAAATGGATGAAAATGTTAACGTAACACGTGTTGCTTGTTTTTAGAAAAATTCGTTTCTCGAACGTTTCCATTCGTTCACGTAGCAACATTAATATCTTTAACAACCTCTTATATCTTCCATCTAAAGAAGGCGCTTCGATGAGGATTTGTCCTCGAACGTCGTAAGTTCGCTCTTGAGAAAACGTGGCAGAGGTAAATTTTTCGCGACAATAGGTGCTCCAAGAGACGCATCTCTGGGCAAACAAATACTAATAGATCAGTGGTAGTCGACAGGAAAAATGTTAAAGTGTAGGAAAATTCGAGAGTGGCAAATATTAGAGAACGCGTTTGCAAGATTGCATTCGAGATACGAGACGAAAGCCTCGTTAAGTCGAGAACAGACCGCCGCTTTTAGTCACTTCCCGCTAAGAACTTTCTTTTTATTAAGAGAAATTCGAAAACTTTTCCTTCTTTTGTCCCAACTTCCGACTTACGATTGTCTAAACATATGTATATGTGTGTGTGTGTGTGTGTGTGTGTATCGTTTCTGATAGAAAAAGTTTAAGAATATTTCCTTTACTTCTTCATTGAAAATACTGTTCCATTTCGCTGTTCTTGCCAAGTGTTATGTTTATCGAATCTCATAGTAAGTAGAATAGAATAACATTTGAAACTGTGGTATGAAGTTCTTACGAGAACCGACAGTCTGTCAAGTGAATAGAATGCCAAATATTCCTATCGACGATTCTTTTTAATTTAAATTGATATTGAAAGAATATCGAACTAAGTAAATAGAAAATAAATTACATGTATTACTAAATAACAACATTGTGCAATAAAGAGTTAATGAAAATCCTGATTTAAAACTTTTGAAAAATAAACCACACAAGCTTGTACCATCTTAATCAATTCTGATTAATATCAAATTTCAACATCAATTTACTACCGAGATTATTTCAATAAAAATCCTTTATTTATTAAGAACGTATATAAATCAACGAAAAATTCTCTGCAAGACGCTAGATTACCCATTTATCATCTCGATCGATCAGTCTGGTCTATCCACGTCGATTTATCGGGGAAGAGCGTAACAATCGCGTCTGAGAATGCCAATTAACGTGACTGGGAACTCGATTGGAACTCGAGCGCGTCTACTTTCTACCGCGAAGGAAACGATTAGTCGACAAGCCGGAGAAAAGGGAAACGTAGAACGCGAAGATTTTCGACGGTGCTCAGTGACGCCTTGATGAGGGTATTATTCTGAGAGTTTGTACGTACCTTGGAGAGTGTGGTGGGGTGCGGATAAAGGTTGACAAGGCAGCTCTGCCGTCTGAGCCGGTAGTCCCAGCGTGTCTCTAGATGTGGAATCTCCATGGTGTCGCAAATGCTTTGTACGTGGGAGGCGGTGTGCGCGCTCTGCGGCCCAAAAATCGCCGCTACACCGCTTCGCAGCAAGTGGCACACTGAAATCAAACACAACTCTACGTTATGTACACGGATACGTACACTTATACACAATGTTATTTGCTCGTTCAAGTTTCGCGTAAATTGCTTCAATTTTCATAAAACGGAGTTTACTTTTGGAAAAATGTAATGTTGCAAGTATGTGAATTATGACACAAGTTGAAGAGTTCAAGAGCGGGTGTTGAGAATGGGTGATTTTAAATTTAGTTTAAGAAGATTGTTCGAGGAAAGCAGGTTGTGAAATATCATCCGGGGATATTACATTTTTGTTAGTTGGCTCGGAAGAACAATTTGATGTTCAAAATGAAATGATGGTCAAAAGTTTAACTTAAAGATCTATTTGCTACATATTTGTGGATGTAAAAATTAGGACCAACTCTAAGAAAAATTAATACATCTGTGTTAATAATATTTTAAACTAACATGGTCGAACGTGAAAAGATTATTAAGATTAATGTAGTGAAGAATATAGCGGTTTGGTTATATAAATCTTTAACTTGCGTACATTCTGATATTATCGAATAAAATTCGCCTTATAATGTACGCAATAAAGCATCGATTAACCGAGATCTTAATGCCGACTGAAACTTACAATTGTTGCGTGTATATTCTGCGTCTTGAACGAGAAATATACTGTTTTGAAACTAAACAACAATTGTATCGTATGTCTCGTATAAGCAAAATTAGTTTCACGGTTAATCGAGCTTCTACTGTATTGTACATAAAAGAAAATAGTTGAGATTTAATTCATGAAAAACTGCATTGATATATAAATTCTAAGTGTTCAATTCACATCGAGAATTTCCAGCTTTCTGGAAAGCATTGATTTCATGATATTTATCAAATATCAAGTTCGCTGTGTTTCAGAAATATTCTTAATTCATGCCATAGAATCAAAATATGTAGTTTGTTCTCCAAGTAACTATATACGTAAGTAGGAGCAAATATTCGGAATCGATAAAAGTTTGTTTGAAATCGCAATACCGGAAAGGATAAAATCACGAACATTCCAAATATTATTTCCCTAGTTTCAAAAATGCACTTTTATGCTCTTAAAAGATTACGTTGCGTAATAACACGAGTAGTAAAATAAAGAAAATCGTTCGCATTCGTATCGTACAATCGTGTAAGAAAGAGCTTGAACTGTTGGAGCGCACTCGGTTGCCATTATCGATTAATCAGCCAAACTCCCGAAACTTCCAGCGTACAAACTTTCCCCTATATCCTGTCTCCCATCTTCCCATCTTCGACTTAAAGGGTCACCATGGCGCTTGGCAAACGAGACATCGCTCCGGTTACGATCTTTCCTATCCAACGTATTTAATCGATCCCTTTCTGTCTTTAATTTGCCAAATAAATGTTTCCTTTGTCATCAGTTTCAACTTTGATTGCCGCAGGAGTTCCGAATAAATTACCAAAGTGTAGGATAAAGTTTATTCTGTTTACCAGAGCGAATTGCTTCACGATGGAAACTTTGTTTTCTTCGTTTACGTAATTGCTATCTCTGTAGAGTTATATATCTTAGATTATACGCTTTTCAGCTGCTTGACTCTTTAATTTAGATCTTGTGTAAATTGTAGGAACATACAAATCCGTCATGTAGACTTAATATGTATGTTGTACTATATTGCGCCGACTAGTATACGGTATAAACACACACATACACATACATGCATTTCTATACATGTCACCAGTATATTATATACCCAATCTATGAAATTTACAGAAATAAACTATTCTTTTTTTTTTGAGACATTTGAAATTAATTATTTGCATGGTTAATGAAATTGAGACATTCAGAAATTTAATTAAGCCAATCAGTTTGGCTTTTCAGAAGCTCATATAAAAATCTTCAATAAAATTATTATATTTATCAACATAAAAATATTCTCAAACTTGAAAGAAAATAACTATCGTAATAATTACATAATAACAATGTTATACACTACATTGCTCCATACGTTTCGTAACACAAGTTGATGTCGACTTTAATTTTCTCTAGGATATTTTATGTTTTATATTTTTCACCATCCGCAAAAGAATACTTTCCTCTTCGAGGAAACGGCGCAGCGTTAATTAACAAGGTATTTAGATAATCACGTTAATGTATATCGTGTTTAATACGTTTCATAACGGGATAGCGTTACGCCGCGCCGACTACGAGGAAGCAGATTATCGAACGCCAGTCACTCGTAATTAGTCGTGACAGGTAATATTTTGTAATTGGATTCGCTCCTCGTTAAAGGTGTCACTCCGTATTTATATTTATTATTCTTTTTCCGATTTTATTCGTACGATTGAATCTCGCGTAACGGGTCCTCTTCAATTTTCTGGCTCGTTAAGCGCGTTAATCTTAGACGATTTTGTCAACCGGATCTCTTTGCCATGTACGCTTTAATTATGTACATGCAAAGAGCATTGAATTCTCCCGCGGCTTCTGTCCTTATTCCACGCAAGCTCTTTCATTCGCTTTGAAAGATTTAAAAGAAGCTAGGACAGTCATAGTAATTTACAATTAATGATAGACTATTTTGCTACGTTCTTCTTTTCGTAGATTAATTGAAACTGAAATTCGTAGATTAAGAAATAAGCAGTAAGGGAAGAAGAATTAGGCACCGAACGAAGGTGACATGCAAATATTTCCTGAACCACTTACCCTCAACTCAGCACCAAAGATCAATTTGTAAATAGAATATATCGGTTTTGTTGAGAACAGTTTAAGGAAACGTAGCATTGCGTTTTATAATAAAGGAGAAGTCAGTTGAAAAATTCTTCAAATCTTTCGTGGGTATTTAGTGTCCACGCGATACAATTCTCGGCCTTTCTTAGTCGTATTAAGGAAAATTAAGTTGTTTGGAATGTTTATGGCAAAAGTTAAGAAAAGATTGGAATCCAATGAATTTATCGATATTTTGTGAATAAGCTAAATTTGTAGGAGATCAATTTCCTGCATTTCTAGTAGGATTTTTTCTCAGAAGACCTAAACACTGAGAGTAAACGAATATTACTTAATAATATAATAATAGTAATAAACTTAATAGTAAAAAGGAATGTCAGAATAAATGGAATTCTAACGTATTGACAAGCTATTAACAATTAAGTAAAATATTATTTCTCGAGGCAAATATTTTAGGAAGTCATCGATTATGCCTATACTCTAAATACGATTTTTACGCGGTGTATTTCGTAGACTAAAAAGTATTAGACCTAGAACCTTACACATACAATTTTGTACGTGTTTCACACAATATTCTTTGTAATATGGCTACTGTATGTGGTTTTAGTTTTCTGTTATTCATGTTTCTCCTCGTTGGTAATGAACAATACAGAGAATACACGAACGTGGAATTCCTTCTTTTTCGTTAATACGAAACCATCCGGATTTCTATACGGTTTTCGCATATACGGATTCGCGGTTCCGATCGGACCATCCAATGAAATTGCATCTGGAATTTCAATATACCGAGTATCATACTTTAACCTTTAAACGCCGCTAGCATTGTCCGGTATTGCTTTGAGATTCGACTTCTTTTTTCTCCTCTGTGGTCGTTGTCTGTGTTCCACTTGGAAGCTGACTTTGCGGACCGATTACAGAGATTCCGATTGATAGAGGATGTTCGTAAGTACCACAGGGAACCACGAAACCCTTGGTCGATCCTTTTGTGGTATAAAATCTAGCCTGCAGGGGACATTAGGTGGGTTTCCATCGAATAAATGATCAAAAGGCAGCGGACGAATAAAGCTCTTCCTATCGGTGACAACGGTATGTGTTTGCATGCTTCGCTGTGTTCCCTGTGCGTTCATTTCGAATGCATCACCATGAAATCCGTTCGCAAATGCGCCACGAGCAAAATAATTTTTCGCGACATTGTCGAAATGATTAGGGAGAATAACTTTGCACGTATTGCAGTGATTTCAGAACGAGTGGACTTTAAAGAATGAACCTATCTACCAAACGTAATTTGTAGATTTTTACACATTTATATATGTGAAATATCCAAATAAATAATACGTAAAATATGTAAAGTAGGGTATTCATTATAATTTTTAACGGGTAAAACGGATCTCTACCGCTGACGGTATCCTTTCTGGGAAAAAATTAGATGAGAATCCAGGAAATGGATCTTTAAAAACATCTCGTAGAAATTTAACCTACATACTCATTTTAATATTATCGACAAAATATCTATATCATTTTATTGGAACTTTTTCTTTTTCCAATAAATGTGATACCTTCTTTTTGTAATTGAACTAAATTGAACTAAAAGATTCTAAAGATACAAATAATTAGCGCCGCTAATATTCTAAAACTGCTACCAAGAACAAGATTCTTTTACAATTAGATTATAAGCTTCGCCACAAAAGCATAGGTTTCTACGAAAATCTCACGTGTTCCCTTTTATCTATTTTCGGACGAAACACCTGGAGAGTTTCTATCTAACCAAGTTATGTTCGTTCATTGGAAATGTACGCACGATTCTCCATTTTCGAAACGAACTTTCTTCACTGTTCTGGAAGAGTCGTCCTTTTATACAAATAAACGCGAAGAATAAAGGGTGGTCGGTGTCTTTCCAAAAAGAAGAAGATGAGGGAAAAGAGAAACAGACGGAAGGAAACTTACGAAGAAAGTTTTCCTCGTTCTTCGAATATTCCTTTTTACTTAGTGGCCGCTGGAAGCTGGGCAGAATCAAGGAGAAAATACACTTCCAAAGATAAGGTAAGGGAAACGCGCTTCAGCATTCACAAGATCATCGTTCGTCCTACGCGTGCTGAGGAAACGAATGCGATACCTTGAAATATGTATTTTGCAACATATCCTCGGAAGAAATACGATATATCTCGCAGCAAGACCACGTATTTCCTGCTTGAATCCAGTTCGTATCATCCCGGCTTTGCGAGTTGATAGGATTATCGCTTGTTAATGTATCAAAGCCAGTTGGCAAGCTGTATGCAGCCTGAGAAACACCCTTCATCCCTTTTGTCCTTTGCCTAAACTGAAGTCCAACTGCATCTAACTCCTCGAGTTTCCCTTTAAACGTTCGACATACGGATAGTAATTATAAAGCAGATCGTAGTAATATCGGATACCTATCTTGATTCTTAACTTGGAAAATCTTGACTAAGATACAGATAGAAATAAAAAAGAATAAACGTAGGAAATAACATTTGAACGCTATGTAGACTTAATGACTTCTCTGCTTAGGAAATTCAATGATCGACAATCGTCAGATTGGCAATCTGGTATTTAGTAATGTGGGCTTCTATTTTCTTAGAGTAAAATATACTAAGTTGTGAAACTTAGTTTTAATTATTTGCACGATTCTGTAAATCATGGTATATTATACATTTTTGTTAGTTTCAGAAAGCTACATTTATTTGCTTCCATAGCTCGAATAG